ACATACATCTTGAGATGATTAATCAAAGGGTTTTTTAACATTAAAACTATCTTTTTCGATAGATTTTTTAGGTGCATCTGTATCTGTAGTTCTACATTATAAGGTAGCATACTTATATAAACTTTTTCCTAATAAATTCTACAGGGTTTTTGCAATTAATTGAGTTTGAGAGAGAGAGAGCGACGCTTTTAAGTCTCTTCATACGCGTTTCTTTCTATAGGTTGATTATTTGTGGAAGTATAATTCCTTCTTTCCTAAGTTTCTTCAAAGTTATTTGAGCTTTCTTGTTAGAGTTAGCTCTCATCATATTCATGCCTCCTTACAAAACATCTTGAGGGTTGTAATGCCTGTCAAAAAAATCATTGAGAGAGTCAAAATATCTTAATTAATATTTTTTAGAGATTGAATACAATGAGATTATTTACCTTTGGTATAAAGTGACAATTGCTTACAACTATTCGATATTAAAATCTAATAGCTCGGGTGTGCATGAACATCAAGAAAATCTGATAGCTTGGACATGTTATGAAGTTCGAGAAATTGTTTTATGAACTTTGAATTTGGTCAATGAAATGAATGCAACTACCCAATTTCACATCTAATAATCAAGATTAATTGTGACCACCTTGTATAAGGGTAAACGGTCTCATTATATAATTTTTACAATTTTTATTTTTATTTCACTGGGGTACTTGCAAAAAAATATATTTTAAAAATCTTTTGAATTGCCTCTCTTTAGAGTTGAGAACTAAATAAGTAGGGGTATTTCAATAATTTGACTCACCAAAGAAGGCGCAAGTGATATGAGAATTTTAAAAATAAACCCTCTAGTGTAAATTGGGATGTTATGAGCTCTTTAATGGCTTTGTTAGGAATTTTGACCTTTAAATGATGTTTTCAAGAGAAGCAAGAATGAAGAGAGATAGAGTAGGGGTGGAAATGGGTCGGGTATGAGTCGGGTCCAGTTGGATCTGGATCCAGTCTGGTTCAGGTTTTGGACCCGGACCCGACCCATTGGGTCCAAAAATTGGACCCATACCCATACCCATGGGGTCTACTTGGGTCTTAGGTTCATTGTAACCCTCACTGTGGGCTTCTTTTCTTTTTTTATTTTTCTCCCTTTTTTTTACTATCATATACCCGTTAGATTTCAAGCCATGTGATTTGTCGTTTAATAGCTAAAGATGACTACTAATTCTAATTATATACGATCTTTAATACACCCAAATGACTAGGGCTTAATGTAAAGTATTTTGTCTCTAATTATTTATGGGTACGGGTCGGATCCAGCTAGACCCAGACCTAAACCCATATAGTGTTTGAGTCAAAGTTTTGGACCCAGACCCGATCCGACCCTCCGGGTCCAAATGCTAGACCCATACCTAACTTATGTCACGGGTGGGTCCCAGTTCCGGTCAGGGTCTATTGCCACCTGAGTGAGAGAGAGAGAGAGAGAGAGAGAGAGAGAGAGAGAGAGAGGAGGGAGGGAGAGACGACGACTACACGAAGAAGTAGTAGTAGTAACGAACGAAGTATATAGTCGTCTCGTCGCTACGTACTTAACCTTAAAACCTAAAATTA